GCTACCTCTATACAGCCTCCACCAGCCCCCGATCTTGCCCTCCTCCTGCTCCGTCTTAGAGGGTATGGGTAAGGACATACAGGGCCTGCCCCGCCTAGAACAGACTTTTCCTCTTGAAGATGGGCTTCATGATGGAAGCGCTCTTGGAGTTTCTGGAGCAACCAAAGTTCTGGAAAAGAGGAACGAGGTCGTTCTGAAGGCGTGTTCGGGTCCGCGTTAGGGATTTTAGGAAATAAACGTGTTAACGTGCAGGGCCCGCAGCCGAACAGGTCTTGAGGCTGGGTGTTGGATGTCGCACCGCCACCAGAAGACTGATCGGATGGTGTCTTCTGGCGGCGACTGTAGTTACCTTGCTGACCTGGGTAGGAGTCTACTGTGTGTGTTAGCGGTTGACAAGTAGGAATCAATTCATGTACACAGAGTCAGGACTCACTGCCATATTGGTTGAAGTGGGCACTCTCCTACCCAGGCCCGCAATCTCAACATACATCGAGGGGCTCTTCCGGGACTTGTTATTTGAATAGGCATTATAACCTGGCAGCTACAGAGAGCACTGTTGGGTGTGCTCATGAACTGGCCGGGGAAAGCGAAAGCGCACTGTCCAAGTAGCCCAGCAAACCGGGAACTCAAGCCGGTTGCCCGCTCATCCCCGGAGGGCGTTCTTCCTTGGCGGACGGACTTTCTTGTTGGGCCAAGCGAACTTGATCTTCTTGAAGGGCTTGGTGATGCCACGGGTGATGGACCTCTTCATCAAGCAGATGGTTCAGGGTCATGAGGGTTCCGACTGGCGCACCTCGTCGCCTTCGTCCTGCTGTGGTTGGAGTTCTGTGGCGGGTTTGGCGTGCCGTGTCCCGCTGACGGGTTGCCGCCATACAACACGAGGAATTCGCTGGTCGTCACCGATCCAACTACTAGTCTGACCGTCGGTGGTCATGGTGATGGTGATGTGGGGACTGAGCCGCCGTTCGTCTTGAAGAACTTCTCGTCCCTAGTTCCGAGTGTCAGCGTCCACTCAGCCTTAAGTCATCAAAGGAGTGTGAACTTGCTCTTGGCCGTCCATGTTGGCAATGGCGTTCTCGGCATCAGCGTCACAGTCATTGGTCCTGTCCTGCAGGGGCCTGTTCTCCTGGCGCAGCTGTAGCACAGAAAACGCTTTTCTCTCTTCCTGTACGTGCGCCGCATTTCCAAGTCCAAGATGGCAAGCTTTGCAGACCAGTGGCAGTGGCTGTGGGTGTGGCCGTGACCGTGGCCAGTGATGCTACGCGTGGTGCCGTCCATATTGGCAATGGCGTTCTCGGCATCAGCATTGTTGGTGTAGCGAACGAAGGCGAAGCTCCTCCCTAAGCATGCCATGGAGCCAAGGGAGAAGCTTCTTGGCGCAATGGTCAGTGTAAACTGAGGCCATGTTAGTACCTGATCCTGATGTGAGTTGAAGCGGGAGTGACAGGTTACTTACGGATGAGGGGAACGCCGTAGATTGGGGCGATGGAGCGGATGTAGTCAGCAGCGGCGGTGGCGCCGGCGACGGAAGCCCTGCGCTTCTCAGCAGATCGTTATCTTCTTGTTCAGCCGCGCCCGCGCGAGCGGAAGCATTAGCACCTAGTTGATGCTGCTCACGAGGAGACGCGGCGGCCGGGAGGGTCGAGCTTTGGTGGGATAAGAGTCAGCAATGAATACGTTCTGAGATGGAGTCCAGCATCTTGAGGGTATGCTCGGTTCAGGGAACGCAGGGTAATGGGAGCGTGTGTGATTTGGGTACTGGTAGTAGATACCAACGAACCTAGGTACATACAGGTACCTTGGAGGTATGTCAGAGTGGTGATGGAGGTGAGTCTGGTCTAATGAGAGAAAAAGAAAGAAGGAAAACGAGGAGGAGCGGGAAAGGGATAAGTAGCCGAAATGAGTGATGCAAATTTCACTGACCGATGAAGGTGAGAATGTACCCCTAGGCGGGGTAGAATCAAAAAGAATCATCTTTTGCGTACCTAAGGTAAGGTACCTTATGAAACGGGGCAGTGGTCACGAGTAGAGGCTAGAGGTAGACATTTGCCCAATCGTGTCGCTCTCAGGCACCCGTGACCTCAAATAAGGTACCTGCGGCCTTCCGAAGTACTGACACTCATAGCGAGCCACACAGACTGGGGCGGCTCAACAAAACGGGGAGACAGAGCCTCAACGAACACTCACGACGACCACCTCAGGCACTCAACCAGGCAACCACCACCAGCCACATGAGTGAGTGTACGTCCTTCCATCCTTCCGTTCTACCCCTCCCCCTCTTTGACACCTCCCGTCTTTCCTCCCTCATTCCCCTTCATCCTTTCCTTTCACTCCTCCTTCCATATTTCCCAGTCCCTCCCTGTTCGTCTACCTTTCTCTTCTTCGGTCCCGACTTCTCTTTTCGCCGCCCGAATTTTGCAATTCGCTTGCTGTGCGTTCGGAGGTTGTCGTTATGTTGTGCTATCTGGTTATGGTGTGCGGTCCGAGACTGGATGGAAGCTTGTGGGACACTCGATTCTGTTAAAGTGATCAAGGGTACAATGCACACTCTGAGCTCTGATAACGCAGTACCTCCTTTGTAGCAAGCCGTGTTTCCCGTTATTCGGATTCTCCTGTGTCAATTTGTCTGCTGGTGGTCTTGGCCACAATATGTCATGATGTTGTGACTTGTGAAATCCGTCAATTAATGGTATCGGCCGTTCCTTGACGCTACTCTGGCTTCCCCTTCTCGTCTTCCTGCACCACTGGGCAACCAGGCCCATCTCTCGGTTGGCGTCTTTCCACCATCGCAAGTGTTCCTAAATCCAAAACCGAGTGTCGCGGCTCACTGCAAGATTTGGAGGGCCAGCCAGGCCAGGCTCCATTTGTCAAAATGTCGGGGAGCAACGCAGGGAAATAATCGTAGACACAAGCATCGAAGCTCACATGCGTGTGTGTATTGTCAGGAATACACGGACCTTGGGTGTTTCCTTCAAGGAGGCCATCACCCTCCACCTGCTATTTACAACCGTTGGCTTGCATCATGCATCCGTGCGTTGAAAGCAGGCAATTCTTCTTGCAGCTGGCAAGCCGCCTACATCAGAGCACATGCAATCAAGTACCAAACAAGTGTACCACACCTCAACAGCTTCTTTCACCACCTTATTCTTCCGAAGGCGAGACGATTGCGAGCGTCCAAGACAGCAAGTCCTCTGAGCTAGCGAGACCAGCCAGCAACAATCTTTGCAATAAAATGCTTGATCGCATGTTTCCGACGCAGATCCGAAGACAAGACCTTGGTCATGGCCGTTCCATGTTGGAAGCGACGCTTGTGCTCCCCCTCGTACTTCTCGGCCTCCTCCCTCTCGTGCTTCTCCTGCTCCTCCATGGCTACGAGCTATCCTTCCTTCTGTTCAAAACCACCAAGTGTCCGTCCTCTTCTTCCAGGTTCCCGCAGCGAACAGACCCAAGTGGCCCGATCGAGCAGCGTTCGCCACAAAACAATTCAATTCAAAACGAGGTCCGAACTGGTTTGTTTTGCCTAAAATATTATCGGATTGGTTTGTTTACTTTCTGAATTGATTTGGTTTAACGAATTGATCAAAACCGGACAAATATTTTCCCGGACCGCCGCTGGCGTAATATTGTACTAAATCCATCCCCAACATTCGAAAGTCGTCATTTTACCGATCCGAAGTCCGAATGCACGTTTTTATAAGCAGGTATTAAGTGACCGTCTGCATCTAAATGCCCGATTTCTGCACCAAAAATAGGCTATCCGCATGTCAATGAGTAACAACCTACCTACTTGACGTAACAAAACAGTCAAAACGAGACGGCGTGACGATTGATTTAGATCTGGCTCTCTGGTGCCCGATTTGAACTGGTTCGCCAGACGACGATTTGATCTGTTTGATAGGGTACTGTTTTATGGCGAACGCTGCGATCGAGGTCGAGCGGCCTTGGTGCCTCGGAAGAGGCTTGCCACAAGGCACTCAGGAGGCCTTGTCGTATCTGGTAGCCCACAGCGTCAGCCTCTTTTGTTCAATTGAGGACAAACTGGACTGGAATCAAACGCACGTACCTCTGCCTCTTTGGCTTGCTGGCCTTCTTTTGCGCGGATGAAGCGCCTCTTGGCTGGGATACCCGAAGGGAAGTTTGAGAGGGAAACAGGAAAGCGACTAGACTAGGTAGTGGGCTGAACGGGGCCGTAGGTAGCAAGCTGTGCCCTGGGAGGCGGGCGGGTCTTGAAAATGGGTCAGTTGTTGAACGGCAAAGCAACTCGAGACGTGCGACGCGAGGGAAGATGGCGGGGCTGAAGACACTGGCACGGCAGGCATCCAAGGACGACTGTATCATAAGGAAGATGGCACATACGTGAATGAAGGGGTTCGAGCAAGGCTCTTGTTTAGCGCTGTGGTTGCTTCTCTTATTGTGATTTTGATGGTAACCTAATGGTTGTGGTTGTAATGGTAATAGTAATGGTGGAAGGTGGAAGATGGAGAAAACGATGGAGAAAAAGAACACCAAGAGACTAGGATTAGGACGCGGGGTGTCTGAGGGTTAAGTAACCCTCAAGACCCGTTTGTTCCTGTCCAGTGTACTAGGGGGGGTGGCTACCTTACCTGACCAGTCTTCCCAGCAGTCAACCGCTCGAGGAAGACAATTTGGAACAATCTTAGGAAGGAGCAGGAGCACCTGGAAGGCAGCTTGATCCTCAGAGTCTGGCTCCCGTGTCCCCCACCTCCAAGCAGAAAAAATTGGGTACGTACCGCCCAGTGTCTGCCCCTCTCCCCCTCGCCGGTCATGTACTAGGTATCTCTTCGGAAGGCAGTTTGGAAGCTCTCAAGGAAGGAGCAGAAGTTCGTAGGCACCAACCGAGTCCCGTCCCCTCCTCATACAAGTACCTTGGTATCCCCAAGCCCCCAGCGCCCAGTCTCCCGCTCCCTGCCGCTCCCTGCCCTGCCCTTCGTGGTATATGTATCAGATCTTTGTATTACCGTTTCAACAAACACCCAACAGCACGGTTGGCGCAGTGGTTAGCGTGCGCACTTCACAACTTGTATTGCTGAGGGCCTTGGCAACCCCGAGGACGCAAGTTCGAATGGAGACAGCCGGTGGTGGCACACCGGCAGTACAAACAAGGCAGTGCGAGACCCGGGTTCGAATCCCGGACTGTGCAATTCTTTTTTTTCTGCTCTTTTTTATAATTCTTTTTGTGGTTTTGGACTTGCCTTTTGTTTTTGGTTGTGTTGTATGATGGGTGGTCTTCAAGGCTGTCGTGGGTGTCACTCTGTTGGCTGTTGTGCCGGGCTGCCACCCCGGGCTTGGTCCAGGCAGTCAAGAGGGGCACTTGTCAAGGGAGTTTGCTGCGGTGTCCAATACTGGATGGCAGGTGTACCAGTCCGTGACAACTGGGCTGGAGTAGACGATGGTTGAAGTTTGAACATGGAAGGCGAGATTATCTCTCTATATCTTGGCGGGTTAAATGGTTCAAGTCAACTCGGCCCGGTAATGGGAGCTTGTAGACTTCTAGACTTAGTTACCTACCTAGCTACCTCCTTTCCTGCTTTATCTTCACACTTACCTTCTGTCTCACAAAAACGTTTGACCTTGGTGCCCTTGGTCTGTTGACCATATTATGACTCGAGGTGGGAACATCCAATGGTGCAATATACTGTCCCAAATCTCACGCATCGACAAGGGAGGTGAAGGTGTCAAAGGCTTCTTGTCTGTCAAGTGTCACCGACGACAATAACAAAGAAAAGGAAGCCCATTGTGCATCTGCCACTTCACATACGCGGCAGGATGAAGCAAGCAAGGACCAGACTCCTACCGAGAACACCGAGATCGAAAAGGCGGACCGAACCCCGAGTTAGGAAGTTCGTCTTCGTTAGTATCCGATTTACCATTCATTCATTACCTGGACAGCCTTCACACGTGGTTTCGTGGACTACTTGAAGAAGGAAAGTCGACCAAATACCAAAGCAGTGTGTTGTTCAGATGACTGGATGGACGGGAACTCATGGAGATGACAAAGATCAAGCCATGTCCACGGCCCCGTCCTAGGAACGAACCTAAAGACGTGTTCGGGTCCGCGTTAGGGATTTTAGGAAATAAACGTGTTAACGTGCAGTGTCCGCAGCTGCAATCCTGCAACATTAAGGCAGCGTTAAGGTTATCTCAGTGCTCAGACCTACTTTCTTTTTTGGGCAGCGGCCGCCAAGAGCTTAATCTTTCCAATGTTTCCAGATTGTGGTCCGTGCATCGTTTCTTTCAGTGTATTTGACGGTATTGACTGAGAACGCCCAAAAAAGAGGTCTGAGTTCTCGATGCAGAAAACCCCGAGTCTCGACATAAATACCCAAAATCCATACCGAAATTTGGCTTCACTTCCAGATAACTACATCACCATAAGACATATTAGCGAATATAAAAATGTATAGAGGTAGAGAATTGCACGGCAGTTATCATGGTGTAATTCATTTTTTGTCAATGTACTTAAAAGTGTAACTTCTATCGTCAAGGGGGTAAAAACGATAATTATCAGAAAATAAGTCGCGACCATAGTATTCAACATTAGCACTTTTTTTCATCCCAACTTTCTGAAAATTTCCATGTATAATCTGTAAGGCATTCTCAAGCCCCGGGTGCATTTACTTTTCCCGTATCGGCTGGAGGAGAAGTTGAGAGATTGCTGTTGGAGAGCATTTTGGTCATAGTTATGGTTATGGTTTTGACGTATTGTTGCTAGGGAATTTGCTATCTATATGGGTACCAAATGAAAGAGCTGATTTACACAATAATAATGCAATTCATAAATTGGTGATGCGATAAGATTTCGTAGAGTTATAAGGTAGTGATGTTGAAAGTCTGGATATTCCTGTCGAGGTTGTTAGGGGGGCCGCATCGAGAACTCAGACCTCTTGGGGCGCATGTCAAAAATATTACCCAAAACAGTAGTCATGGCATTTTATCGATAAATTAAATTTGTGTGGTATAATCTGGTTCGTGCGTGACGCCCCGAATTAGAGGTCTGAGCGCTGAGATAACGTTAAGGTAGGCCAAGACTTTGGCTGCAAGATGGAAAGAGGTGGTTAACATCCCCTTCTACCTTTCTTCTTTCCTCCTCTTTCTTCCTTTTTCACCATCCTTTTCATCAACACCACCATCCTTCTTATCGTCGCCATCCTTCTCATCGATCATCACCATCCTTCTTATTATCGCTATCCTTTATTATTACTATCCTTCTTATCATCGCTATCCTTTATCATTACTATCTTTTTTATTATCACCTCCCTTTCTATTATTATCTCCTTTGCGACGGCTACCCCCTATATTTATAGGGGGTTGAGCATTGTAATTGTATTTAACCGCAGTCCTTAACGTACTACGTCTCGATTTTGAGACGTAGTATATTAAGAACTACGGTTAAGGATTTCGAAGATTCTAGCCTTCTAATTTGTCAGATCGAGGATTTGGGGTAGGTGTAGGTGGTTGCAGGTAGTTGCAAGGTGTACATGAAAAATAAGGTTTTTGAGCTGAACACGAAAAATCGCAGTAGTGCGTTAGTACGTCCTACATACAAAATCTTAACCTGGGAACGTACTAACGTGCAACCGAATAGGTCTTAAGCGATTTAGTTTCGAGTCGAGAGCTACCTTGTACATACCTCATAGATTCCACTACTACATCTACAACTGTTCAACCCATCCATGGGATCTCGATTATATACCTCTAGGTAGGTATGCTCTGCCAATATGGAGCTCTTCTGCCCTGTCCCGCAAATCCTTACATACCTACGATCCTGAACAACTTCAAAGTGAATTCCAAACTCCAAGCAGCCCCTGCTCCCGCCATGCTCCATGCACCAGCAGGCATTCATTCTTCTTAAACGGCTTCATATTGTTGATACAGCCAGGCTCGTGACACTTTGAAGGCTTTGTTGCGTACTAAATGCTCGATACGTGCAATGGTTGGCCCTTCCGTTTCGATGAAGGGAGCCTGGTGTTGGTGCAGTTTGCTCTCAAGGCACTTTAACGACAATCTTTCCTTTCCTGTTGGTCGGGTGGGTGGTTGAGTGTCGAATACCTTACCTTCCATGGTAATGGAATATTCTACCTAGTATCAAAGGCTAAATAAATGGAAAAATGAACAGCCCTGGACTCCGACGAAAGCTCTTTCTTAAGGTACCTAGTCTGGAATTGAATTACATAACGGAAGAGGAGAGGAGGGCAGGGAGGAAGCCGGTATAGGCAACACCTACCTTAAACAAGTACCCGAGAAGAGAAAGTGTCCGCACAGTGAATAGGCTCCAAAAGGTCGGTCGGTTGGTGAACTTTAACATGAGATGCCAGGTGGCTATGCCGCGATGGGGTGGTAATGCGGACAGGAGTGAATGGGAAACAATAAGATAAAGGCTACTTACCGCAGCGGGAATATAGGGAGCGTAACAAGCCTTGTTGTATATCTATTGCATAACCATGTAATAAGCCCTGTTGAATTGATAAGGCTTGTTGGGCTGAAGGAAGCTTTTGATTGGTTAGATTTTGGTGCAAAATGATAAAAGTTAAAGACCCTTATAAGGCCTTCTAAAGGTCTTTCTAAAGGTCTTTTTCAAGGTCCTTCTGAGGGTCTTTGATTAGGGTCTTCCTAGTGGTCCTTTTGGTAGCTGTTTAACCTAGAAGATTTTGACTTCAAAATCTGGATGAAGGTATTTACACTTCCGTATACGAATACTTCCGCGCGCGAAACTTTTCGCGCAACGGAAAAAAAGCTATTACTAGTTGGAATCGAACTAGCGATCACAAAGATGAGAGCGACGACAAGAACTATTGAGCTACTGGCCCAATTGATTGAGAGTGGGCTTCGTTCCTTCTTTTGATATAGGGCGATCTCTTCCGGGGAAGGAACTTTAGAATTTAGAAAAAATTTCAGTTCTAAAGACAGGGCACTTTTAGCGACCGTCTACAGCGGGCATTTGGATAAATGCAAATCAACCAATCAGGTACCTCCCTCGTTCAACAAGGCTTGTTAAATCAACAGGGCTTGTTAAGTCTACAAGACTTCTATGCCTTATTAAGGCTTAGAAGGCCTGTTCCCTGGCAGATTTTCCCGCTACGGTACTGTATCATGGTCAGTCTTTGGAGAACTGGACTGGACTGGACTGGATCTGAGGCAAAACGTCGGTTAGCCTATAGCAACTAGCTGGAAATCAGACAACTTGCCTACTATGGAATGTTGGCGATGCTACAAAACTTCAGGTACCTTACTTACCTCTAGTTGGTGAGTGGTGTTGAGAGCCACTCTCCATGTCGGCCCAGCCAGGAACCGCGATTAAAGGAGCATACTATTCTAGAGACCTACCGTACCTACCGTACCTACCTACCACTATGTGCTTCAAGAGACCACGGCTACCTTATCTGGGTGAGGAAATAAATTCCTTGAATGCCACCTATGTATGTTCTATTAAATAAACTTGACAGCTGCATGCATGTATTCTACATCTAATCTGTTCATGGTACCTGCTACCTAAAATGACCAATTGAATTCCGCTAATAAACGCCGTTCGTATGCCAAGCCCAGGAGAGTATAGTATAGTATAGTATCTCTCTCCCATGTGCTAATATGCTTGTTTCTATCAGGTATATACACCCATACTCCAAGTGATTGATACTCCGTAGTGATACTCTAAACAATGATGATGCATTCAACCACACCGATTGCCGGTTGATAGTATAGTTGCCCTGTCCTTCGCTTGCCGTGCACAGTGCACAACTTTCCTCCACCATGGATGGTATCCGTCCCTTGCCCTTTAATGTGCCATACCCTCATCACTTGAACTTGAACACATCCTAAGCGCTCCCTCGCATTGAACTCAACATCATGGCCGCCTCCTGCCTCAGCTGTTCCTCAGCCGACCAACCCGGCGGCGGCCAACAACCTGGTGCTTGTCCCTGTGCCTGTCCCTGTCCCTGTCCCTGTCCAGCACCCGGTCCTGACCCCTGACCTTCCGTCGTCGTCTGCCCCAAAGTCCCAGACCCCATTCCGACAGCCTGCTGTTGCCCCTCTTGTTCGGTCGGCGGCCCCTGCAGCCTGATCTCCTCCAACCTCTGCTGCTGCCAAGCCTGAAAAGGAGTATAAAACCTCGCCGGGACGCCCCTAGCGGGCAGGATTGTCGAG